ATCTACCCTTCTCCTTTTACTCTCCCCCCCCTTTTCTCCTTCCTCCAGGCCACACACACAGTTCACCTAACCCTCCATACAGTTCACTTGACCAAAGTTTAGGCCTTAGACTATTTTTCCTCCACAGGCCAATGGGAGCTTTGGGGAAGGTTTCCCATGGGCAAGGGCCATGGGCAGAGCCCTCTGCCCTCCCTCACCCAGGGGCCGCAGGAACGTGGTGCCGGCCATTTCTGGGAGCGGTGCGGGGCGGGGCCAAGGCAGGCAGGCAGGCAGGGAGCCTATCTTAGCTCCGCTGAGTGCTGCTTCCACCCCGGAGCTGCTCCAGGTAAGTGGCACTGGGCTGGAGCCCGCACCCCGAACTCCTCCTGCACCCCAACCCCCTGCCCTGGGCCCCCTGCCACACCCCACACCCCCTCTTGTGCCCTGCACCCCAACTCCCTGCCCTGAATGCCACGCTGCACCCCACACCCTTCAATGTATCCCACCACCCTGTCCTGAGCTCCCTGCTGCACCCTGCACCCCTCCAGAACCCCAACCACCTGCCCTGAGCCCTCAACCCCCTGCCCTGAGCCCCCTCCTCCACCCCACACCCCTTCCTGCACCCCAACCCCCTGCCCTGAGCCCACTCCTTCACCCCGCACCCCTTCTGTGCCCCAACCCCTTGCCCTGAACCGCTTCCTGCACCCCGCACCCCCTCCCACACCCCACACTAGATCCTGCACCCCAACCCCCTGCCCCAGCCCTACATTCATGGCCCTGCATGCAATTTCCCCACCCAGATGTGGCCCTTGGGCCAAAACGTTTGCCCACCCCAGTCTAGATAGAACCTACTCCTGCCACCATGAGTGCAGGGGACTGGACTAGAGAACCTCTCGAGGTCCCTCCAAGACATTCCCATGATTCTATGTCCTGGGCAACAATTGTTTTTAAGCAGGGTTTTCACATTCAAATATCTTCACTGTGTTGGTGGGTGGGTGTGTTCGTGCTGCTCCTTGCCGGCGGGACTGAAACCTGTCAGTGTCTGTGTGTGTGCAGGGGATGGGTCTGCACTCAGTACTCCCTGCTAAACTGGCTTCACTGCTCTGCTTAGACTCTGCTTCCCCTTTTTGTACCAGCCCCTGATTTGCTCTGTGTCACTGTGTAGCCTCTGGCGCAGTAATAGGTGCCGGTGTCTGCAGCTGTCAGCGAGTTCAGCCGCAGATAATTCTTGGTGTTGGAAGAATCCACGGTGATGGTGATTCGGCCTTGGAGAGACAGGGCATAGCTTGTGCCCCCGCTCCATCTACCCATCCACTCCAGCCCTTGGCCCGGAGCCTGGCATATCCAGTTCCACCAGTAGCTGCTGGTGACGGTGCCCCCGGTGACAGCGCAGGTGAGTGTGAGCATCTCTCCGGGCTTAACCACCCCTGGGCCGGACTCCTGGAGCCAGAGCTGGGACAGGACACCTGGGAAAAGCAGGGATTGGTCAGATTCAAACCCACCTTCCCCCCCCAAACCAGCACCGCCTCCCACAGCCTCCCGCAGCCACTCACCCGAGGCCAGAGCCAGGAGGAGCAGGGGGAGAAGCAGAGAGTTCATTGTGCGCTAGGCAGGGACAACACAGAGCTCGCAAGGGGCAGCTCAGCGCCTGTGGGACCAGAGCCGCCCAGAGTATGAAGGGGGCCTGAGGCAATGCAATTTCAGGGGCCCCTTCCATAAAAAAAGTTGCAATACTATAGAATACTATATTCTCGTGGGGGCCCCTGCAGGGCAATTTGCCCCACTCCCCTCCCCCCCACCCCCCGGGCAGCCCTGGGAAAAATAAACATTTAAAAACCTTCCGCATCTCGGCACAAACCCAGTTTTAAGAAAACTTCTTTTCAAGTCACCTTTACAAGGTATCACTGGTTCTCAGCATCAGCTAAAAGGCACTAAAGCTCATTAAAAGGGTTGGACAAATATTTTCTGTCAAAACTTTTTTGGGATCGAAAACTAGGGGTTTTTAAAAAGCAGAAAAAATCATGGACAATGTCTGCTTTCCTTCAAAATTTGTTGTGTTTTTTTTATTGAAAAGCTGAAATTAGTCTGCCAAAACCTGAACATGGTTTGGGGTTTCAGAAGTGTGTGGCCAAATATTTGCTGCTTGCTGTGTTTGATTGTTTAAAGAAACAATAAAAAAATTCTGCTTAAAAAAATCCAAAACTTTTGAAGCACCTCAGCTTGTGACCAAACGCCAGAGCCCATCCAGTCAGAGATTCTTCCAGGTTTCTCATACTCTGCTGGCTTCCTTGACTCATATCTGTCTCCAGAACTTTGGGTTCATTTAGATTACAACATAAGAACATAAGAACGGCCAGACTGGGTCAGACCAAGGGTCCATCCAGCCCAGTATCCTGTCTACCGACAGTGGCCAATGCCAGGTGCCCCAGAGGGAGTGAACCTAACAGGTAATGGTCAAGTGATCTCTCTCCTGCCATCCATCTCCATCCTCTGATAAACAGAGGCTAGGGACACCATTCCTTACCCGTCCTGGCTAATAGCCATTAATGGACTTAACCTCCATGAATTTATCTGTTTCCTAGAGACTGGCTCCATGGTGTCCCTCACAAACTGGAGACGGTTACTGTGGGTTTGTCTTTAGTATAGCTTATGTACATACTCCACGATCTGAGCATTTGAACTTGTTCCACAATCTGGGATGAGCCTATGTTGTGAAAACTGAAATGCTCAAAATAGCACATGCCTGTGAATGGACACAGGGTGTTAAAATTAAATTAACTCAGGGGCTCTGAAACGTGTGGTTGGGAGCCCTCAGGGGGTCACGAGGTTATTACTGGGGGTCGTGAGCTGTCAGCCTCCACCTCAAACCCTGCTTTGCCTCCAGTATTTATAATAGTGTTAAATATATAAAAAAGTGTTTTTAATTTATAAGGGGGGGTCGCACTCAGAGGTTTGCCGTGTGAAAGGGGTCACCAGTACAAAAGTTTGAGGACCACTGAATTAACCCCTCTGGAGCCTCGGGGAATGCAGGGTGGGGGGGGGTCTCCCTTGGTAGGGTTGGGAAGGAGGTAGGTGGTGTAGCATATTGCTCTTCTCATGGGATCCCTCCCCCGTGGCTCTCTTGGCTCTATCACTGTTAATCTAAAGTGGCTAATTTGAAATGAAGCTCCCCTCCCCTGACATGACTCTCCCTATGGCACTGAAATGAAATGTGGACTATAATTTGGCATTTGAGAAGTGAAAGGGATGGTAGCCCTAAGGGAAAAGATAACAGCTTGGCTCTTTGTGTTAAATAGCTGTCTGCAAGCCTCAAACCGCTGAATGAGCTTTAGGGTAGGGAAGGCTGTGCCTCCTCAAACAGCCTGGCCCTGCCCCCTATCTGACCCCCACCCACTTCCTGCCTCCTGACTACCCCCCTCAGAACCCCCGACGCATCCTGCTCCTTGTCCCCTGACCCCCCCGAGACACCCTCCCAACCACCACCCCAGGACCCCACCCCCCATGAACCCTTCCGATCCCTGTCCCCTGACTGCCCCGACCCCTATCCACCCCCCCGCCAAGTCCTGAGAGACCCCCGGAACGCCCATGATCCGACCCCCGTTCCCCGTCCCCTGACCACCACCCCGAACCTCTGCCCACTCCCTGTCCCCTGACTGTCCCCGGGACTATTCGCCCCTTATCCAACTCCTCCCCGGCCCCTTACCATGCAGCTTACCCCCGCCTCCCCCCTCTCCCGGAGCCTCAGTGCGCCGTGTCCAGGAGCGGCCCTGGACAGCGATGCAGCGGCATGGCTCCAGCAGGACCTGAGCTCCCGCCTCTCAGCCCAGAGCTCGCAGCCCCGCACCCTTACCACGCGGCTCTGAGAGGGAGGAGCTCAGGCCTCGCTGGAGCCACGCCTTAGCTCTGTCCAGGGCCGCTCCTGGACACGCTGAGGCGCCGGGGTATGGGGGAAGGCGGAGGCAACATTCTTGTGGGGCCCCTTCAGGGCCCGAGGCCTGGGGAAAATTGCCCCACTTGCCCCGCCCCCATGGCCCTGTCTCTGCCACAGACTCCCTGTCTGTCTCTGAGCAAGTCACTTAGCCTGGCTGGGCCTCAGTTCCCCCTCTGTCAAATGGGAATAACAGCACCCCCACCACACAGGGATGTGGTGAGGAGAAATACATTGATAAGAGTGTGCGGCTCAGATACTGCGGTGATGGGAGCCATAAAATTGTCAAAATTGGAAAAATACATGATCACAGTGTGTCCCTGCCTCAGTTCCTGATACGGACTTACCAGCCTCCTAGAAGTGCGGTGAGGCTCAGTACAGATTGTAAGGTGCTTGGCTAACATGGTAGTGGGCGCCCTTAAGAGAGCTCGATAGAGAGGGAGAGAGAAAGAAGCAATGGCTGGAAAGTCAATCAATATTCCCAGCTGGAAAGGGAACAGACACTCTCCAGACCAGGGAAGAGCTGTGTGTGTGTATTGCTCGAGTGAATGAGCCCTGTTTTTGGGGTGTCTGGGCCCCTGTATCCTTATTAGCTGCGCTGGATGGAAGGACATGGGGTTTGGTGTGAGGATGAATGTGGCTGCTGACAGGGAGACCATGGCAGAGAGCTTTTAAAATTTGTATAGGGTTATTAAATCCCCCTGTGCTTTGATTGTGGGAGGTCAAACTCTTCCCTACAGGGACACAAGATCAGGGGGTGCGTGTTGCACACAGTCACCCTGTTTACTTTTAACAGAATATGGGATGAGAAAGTCAGCAGGGAGAATTTCCACGGCCTGAATTAAGACATCAGAAGGTAAATCAGTTCAGTACCTCTGTGCAGACACGTTTCCATGGAGAGATCACTCTTTACCGGTTTCAATTTGTGTCTTCATGAATTCTCACCTTGTGCAAGTGAAAACAGAGGCTGTCCCTTTACTGCCATCTAGCGGAAAGGTGGGTCTCCTGCTTTCCTAGAAAGATAAACTATAGAGTCATAGTGGCGTGAAACTCTGTGTAGGCTCCGCTTCCTCTTTTTGTCTGGGTCCTGCTTTGCTCTGTGTCACTGTGTTTGGCGCAGTAATAGGTGCTGGTGTCTGCAGCTGTCAGCGAGCGGAGCTGCAGGGAGAACTGGTTCTTGGAGGAGTCAGTGGAGATGGTGATTCGGCTCTGGAAAGATGAGGCGTAGTTCGTGTTCCAGGTGGAACCGCTGTAATATCCCCGCCCCAGCCACTCCAGCCCTGTCCCGGGAGGCTGCCGGATCCAGCTCCAACTGTAACCACTGGTAATGGAGTAACCCGAGACCGCGCAGGTCAGGGTGAGGGTCTCTCCAGGCTTCACCACTCCCGGGCCGGTCTGGACCAGCTGCACCTGGGAGAGGACACCTGGGAGAGGGAAACAAAGCAAGGACAGAATTAGCCAGGAAAGAATCTGTGGATCTGGTGCTAATTGTCTCGCTCTCAATAAACACTCACAGGAGGGGGCAGAGAACAGGGACAGGAAAAGCAGCAGAGATTTCATCCTCATTTTCACGCAGTGAGGGAAACTCCCCAGGGGCAGGACAGGGCAGTTCTGTGTCTGGGGAGAGACTGAGGCTCCTAGAACCAGGGGTTGGTATTTAACAGGAACCCCCGGGGCAGGGATTTGCATGCGGGGTCCCAGGGCGGGTATAAGAGCTGGCAGGGGGTGAGCGCTCAGTACATGGCGATGTCCCCTTCGGACAGGGGCCCCCTTTACACCCAGAGAGACCCTGCGCTCAGCGCAGCGTGGCTGTACATTAGCCTTTGGTGTTTCGTCTGTGGCCCTAGGAGACCGGACAGAAGTCGCAGGGTCGGTTCCTACGTCACGCACTCGCTCCCTGTTGCCGTTGTGTGACTCCACCTAGGGGCTCTGTGTGCCCAATTCCCACTCGTGTCAGTGGGCGGTGGGGGCCCAAATCCCCTAGGCAGGTTGGATAATCTCAGCCTTACCGAGTCAGGGCCTCAGTTCCTCCTCTGTAAAATGGGCTAATGACACTTCCCTGCTTCACGTGTGAGGGGAAAATCCAGGACTGGTTGTGAGTCGCTCAAACGCTCGGGTGACAAGGGGCAGAGAAGAGCAGAGACCGGTTGGGGGCTGGGCATCCAACTGCCAGTGAAACCCAGTGAGATTCTGTCTCCGAAATGCCGCAGGTTTCTTGATAACCCCCCGGCCTGACTCCATGGAGTCCATCTACAGCGTGTTGTACTCCGGAGTCGGGGGCAGGTCAATGTGGAATTTGCACATATGGTTGCGGGTTTGGAACAGGAGTTAAGGGCATTAGGATCCCCAGACCCACTGGATTTGGGCGCCTGTTGAGTTGTTCACGTCATTTCCGCGGGCTGGGAAAGAGAACTTGGAAATAAATCCCATGATTTGAAACAGGCAGTTGTTCATACTAAACACAGGAGAAGCCAGCACAGGGGAAGCAAGGGGATTCAGTAAATGGAGGGAGGTTTTTTGGGGAGAGGGATAACTCACTGGTTTGAGCATTGGCCTGCTAAACCCAGGGTTATAAATTCAATCCTTGAGGGAGCTATTTTAAGACTCTGGGGCAAAAATCTGTCTGGGGGTAGCTCCTTCTTTGAGCAGGGGGTTGGACTAGATGACCTCCTGAGGTCCCTTCCAACCCTGATATTCTATTATTCTAAACGAGGCTGGGTCCTGGGAGGGTTAGGGCCAGCTCCCTCTGTCTGGATCTCTCTAGCTAAGAGGCCACCCCGTCTAACCAGGAAAGGGAGAAAGGTTGGGTTTTCCCAAGTAGTTTTCAGGGCAGCCAACCGCATTCAGAGCAGGAGGGAGGGAAGTTGGGAGACAGGAAAGTTCTGGGCTGTCTCCAAAGGAGGCCTGTGATTGTGGTAGGTCAGGAGTGGGCCTGGGACACACACTGGGCGGGGGCAGGGAGTTGGCACGGATATTAAACCTTGTCCTTTAGTGTTCAAGCCAGGGATACTCAGACCTCAGGGGTTCGGGATCCAAATTATCCATGAGTATTACCCAAAGAGCCACAGTAGTGTGAATGTCAGGGAAAATATTTAGAGTGTATGTATACATATAGACACACTCTCTCTATATATTTAGTATATGTACACAATTATTTATATGTAATATAATATAATGATATTTAGATATCTATCTATCTATATGTCTGTATACCTATATCTATAAAATTCCCACAGTAAGTTAATAACTTAGTGCAAGTTGATCACTTTATTGGTTAATACCATAATAAACACATCCTGATTGGTTAATAACTTGGATGGGTTCATAATTAAATCACACCAGGTGCTGCAAAGGGCGGCAGGAGACACATTAGAAAGCCCCTTGCGGCTGGAGAGCCACAGTCTGGGTGTCGCTGGTTTAACCCAATCTCTGTTGGAGACCAGGGCGAGACCCGATGTGGAGGGTGGATTCTCTCACATCCTCAGCTGTGGGGTTCTGTGAAGCAGCCCCGGCTAGTCATGCTCAGAGACAGGATATTGGGCTAAACGAACTTGACTTGAACCTCGCCGGGATTTCCTGAGCTCTGGAAGGGGAAATGCAGCGCTGTGTGCTGTAGCTAGTACCCAGAAGGGTTGTGTGATGGCTGCTGGGAACGAGACCTGATTCCCCCTGGGGGGCCGTGAGATGGGATCTCTGTGTGTCTGTGTTACAAGGAGCTGAGTTACGAGACGAGGAATCCCACCCCCCCTCCACCTCCTTGTGACCACTATCTCACCCTGCTTCTAATAGAGACATGTGTGTGACAGGGCCCCGAGTGACTCTCGACAATCCTCTTCCCCTTTTTGTACCAGCCCCGCTTTGCTCTGTGTCCCTGTGTGTCTGGCACAGTAATACGTGGCGGTGTCTGCAGCTGCGAGGGAGGCCAGCTGCAGGGAGAACTGGTTCTTGGAGGTATCCAAAGAGATGGGGGTCCGGCTTTGGAGAGACGCGGCAAACCACTTTCTCCCGTCGTGTGGGTATATATGCGCTACCCACTCCAGCCCTTTCCCAGGGGCCTGCCGGACCCAGTTCCACACGTAGCTGCTGCTAGTGATAGAGACCCCGGAGACAGCACAGGTCAGGGTGAGGGTCTGTCCGGGCTTCACGACGCCTGGGCCGGACTCGACCAGCTGCACCTGAGAGAGGACACCTGGGGAAAGGGAAACAAGTTATGCAAGTAATTAGGCAGCCAATAAATCTGTGGCTTTGTCCCTAATTTCCCCGCTCTCTAAAACACACTCACAGGTCGGGGCCGATAACAGGGAAAGGAAAAGCCACAGAGATTTCATTCTTCTTTTCATAAAAGAAGGGAAACTCCCCAGCGGGCAGGACCGGGCAGTTCTGTGTCTGGGGAGAAGCTGAGACTCCCCGACTCAGGGGTTGGTATTTAACAGGAATCCCCCAGGGCAGGGATTTCCATGCGGGTTCCCCAGCGGGTATAAAGGGAGGGACACCTCTAGGCAGGGAGCGCTGTCTGTGGGAAGCAGAGTCACACATCCCCTCACGTCTTAGTGTTTCACCCAAAGTCAAGTCACCTTCATTGGAGCCCTTCAGGGAAGCAAGGGACTGTGGATCAGGTCCCTACACTGGGGATTTGAATCCAGCCTTCCAGCCGCGCCTGCTGCCTAAAGCCCCGGGCAGAGCTGAACAATAGAAACGAGAGAGAGGAGATGTCCAGAGACGTGAGACTCTCCCGGGAGTGTTGGATGGGGAAGGAGCCGCAGCTGTGGGGAGCCAGCGGCTGGTTCCAGGCACCACAGTGTGAGGAACCGCTTCAGGGAAAGGGGAGAGAGCTGGGCACGGAGGGACGGTGCGGGTTGTGGGCTCTGTCAGAGTAAAGGCCATGACGGTAGTAACTCAGGGACAGTCTAGAGCCCACGCTCGGGGGAAACGCATCACCCTAGTGTCCGGTGCTTTTCCTGTAGCAGAGACACCTGTGAGGGGGAGAGACTGTGCGCTGAGAGACACACTGCTGTGCGCTACTGGAGGGAGTGAAACTTGCTCTGTGCGTAGGGATATATCAGTGCTGAAGCCCAGATAGTCCTTTACACTGACCTGTGAAGTGTCCGGTGACTCCATTCCAAGCTCTGCCTGGTTCAACTGGGTTCAGGACATGTCTGAGAAAAGCAGGGAATGGGTCAGAGACAACCAATGTTCTGGGATCATAAACTCTGCTCTTACTCTCAAACACCGTGACTGCCAAGGAAAAATCAGACAAAATGCCTGCTCATGACCCAGAGGCGAAGGGAACAAGATAGACTGGAGTAAGGCACGTTTACACTGGTGTAACCTCATACAAACTAGGCGTTGCACTGTTATAACTTCATGGGTGCAAACAAACATTACTCTCCTAACTCAACAGTTATATGGATAGAAAAGCTGTGTGTAGACCGGAGCTGAGCGCTCTAGGGAGTCATGACAAAGTTCACCAGTTTGACTTAGGCCTTGTCTGCAGGGGAAATTAGTTTTGTTATAAACGAAACTGTGAATTTAAATCCATGTACAGATACTGGTCTAACCCCAATGTATACTCTCCTTTGGGTAGAAAAGTGTCTTTCTAGGGTTTAGCTTATATCTCCTGGTCTGCACTTAAACTAGCATTCTTTCTTTCTTTCTTTCTTTCTTTCTTTCTTTCTTTCTTTCTTTCTTTCCCTGTATAACTATTTTTGTTTCTCCGCATTTTAGAAAAAGGGTGTCTCTCTTGTACTGGTTGCAATGGGGAAATGTTATGAAGTTTTTTTGTTGTAATATTGCGACTTTTAGCCATCACCTTCAGCCGCCAACTAAAACCTCTACAGTGCATCATCAAGGATCTACAACCTATCCTGAAGGATGATCCCTCACTCTCACAGACTTTGGGAGACAGGTCAGTCCTTCCTTACAGATAGCCCCCAAACCTGAAGCAAATACTCACCAGCAACCACACACCACACAACAAAAACACTAACCCAGGAACCTATCCTTGCAACAAAGCCTGTTGCCAACTCTGTCCGCATATCTATTAAAGGGATACCATCATAGGACCTAATCACATCAGCCACATTATCAGAGGCTCATTCACCTGCATATCTACCAATGTGATATATGCCATCATGTGCCAGCAATGCCCCTCTGCCATGTACATTGACCAAACTGGACAGTCTCTACGCAAAAGAATAAATGGATACAAATCAGACATCAAGAATTATAACATTCAAAAACCAGTTGGAGAACACTTCAATCTCCCTGGCCACTCGATTACAGACCTAAAAGTCACAATATTACAACAAAAAAACTTCAAAAACAGACTCCAATGAGAGACTGCTGAATTGGAATTACTTTGCAAATTGGACACCATTAAATTAGGCTTGAATAAAGACTGGGAGTGGATGGGCCTTTACACAAAGTAAAACTATTTCACCATGCTTATCCCCGCCCCCCCTACACACACACACTGTTCCTCATATCTCCTTGTCAATTGCCAGAAATGGGCCATTTTCATTAGCACTACAAACAGTTCTTTTTTCTCTCCTGCTGATAAA